TGTATTGAAATTTAAAAAAAGAATCTCTAATTAAGTTCATTAACGCATTTTAAATTTGTAATTTGTATATTCTTGCGGCCTGCTGGGTGACTCGCATGGTGCTCAACAGTTAATAACCTAAATTTCGAATATTAAATTTCATCATATTCTTTGTATATATATAATATATGTATATAGCATAATAAATAAATAAAAAAAAACACGAAAATTTTATTGTACAAAAGCTGCAAGTAAATAGAACTCATAAAATAAGTTCGAAATGTAAAGAAAACAAGGGAAAAATTACAGAACAATGAAAAAAGGAGAAAAAAATAAAAATAAAAATAACAAGAAACCGAAAGAAGAAAGAGAAGAAAAAAATTCCGAAAAGAAGGACAAAAATTTTTAAAAAAGTCCAGAAAATAAAAGATATAATCTCTTTATCAGCTCACACGATTATATCCGCAAAAAAAGAGTGCTTTCTTATATTGTATCAATATAGCCAAAGCAAAATATATCAATACAATTGTGTAAGAAGCAGTCAAAAANAAAAAAAAAAAAAAAAAAAAAAAAAAAAAAAAAAAAAAAAAAAAAAAAAAAAAGCAAAGCGAGCTCTTTATTCGGATTTTTTAAAAATTTTCTGTACTTTCTTTCGGAATATTTTTTTTCCGGTTTCTTGTTATTTTTATTATTATTATTTTTCCCCCTTTTTCATTGTTCTGTAATTTTTCCCTTGTTTTCATTACATTAACTGAGTCTTATAGATTTAACGAAGCTAAACAAAACGGAATATTGAGAGAAAACACGGAAAGTGGCTGCGACTTTTATGATATAAAGATACAAAAACTTTTTTTTACTGAACAAAACTAAAAAACACCTCTTGATTTTTTTTTCTTAGAATGAAGAACAGCAAATTTAGCATAACGAAGAAAAATAATATAATTGAGATCAAGAAATTTTGTTTCCATGTCGTAAAGAAATCATGAATTAATTTGGCTGAAAACTACTTTTTTAGGACAAGAAATTACCTCTTGACTTTTTTTTTTTATGTTGAAAAGTATGATGTTTAACATTATGTAAAAGTGATAATGAGTAAGCATAATGGGAATTCTTGAAATTTGATTTTTAAAAAAATTCCTTAATATTATTTCTGAAATCTTTTTAAGAAATTGTACAGATATTTTCAGCATTTTAATTACGTAGTGTTGATTTCGAATAATACCAAAATTAAGAAAATTGCCTCGTAAATAAAACTCTAACCGTAGCTACGCCATTTATCTGAAATTGAGTCAAATTTCAAAATGTTTCCTTCATCATAAAATTCTGAAAAAATTATTTTAGCCGTCTTTCAGCTTTCCTTTCTTGAAAAATAAAAAAATAAAAACAATCATGAACGAGAATTTTTCATTTTTGTCAGACATGAAAACGATCATTCGACATGAAAACGATCTCATTCTCTTGGCGAGCTTTTAACTCTGAACGAAGTTCGAAATGCGTGTTTTAGAAAACGGCTCTAATTGCGAGTTAATTAGTTTGTTCTCTAAAAAAGAACAATGCTCATAAGAGAATTTCAGAAAAGGGAATACAATGATATGAACATTTTCCTAAACACGCATTTCGATTCGTGTCTGGAATAAAAAGAATTAATCAGAATTAACGAGCAATTATGTTTCTCTCTATATTAAAAAATCGCCGCAACTGTTTCATGTGTTCAACTTCACGTTGCATTTTGTTTGGCTGCGCAAAACCTAAAAAGACTTTGAAATTTGTAATTAGTAAGGTTTGTTCAAAAGTGTACAGGGATTATAATTTAATTAAAAAAAATAATAACTTTTGATTATTAGTTCCATAATTTTTTACTGTTAAACTTGCTGAGAAAAATACCATTCTAGCCGCTCTACAGACTGCTTGTACAGAGATCATAATTGATTAAAAAAATAACTTAACAAATTGAAACTTTTAAAAAATTTAATAAAAAATAATTATAATTAAGTAAAAAAAAACTTTTGATTATTAGTTCGGGAATTATTAACTTTTAAACATGTTGAGAAAAATACCATTCGAGCCGCTCTACAGATCTCTTGAATGCAACTGCAGAGTTGCATGCTGAAAGGGCCAATGAATNACTATTAATTAAAGAGTTGCATGCTAAAAGATTCAATTAATTTAAGATAAGTTTTTTTTTTTTTTTCCTTTGAAATTCTAATTTGGTCTAATTTGTTAATTCTAATTTTTTGGCAATGTTTCTCATATTTTTTGCTTTATGTTACATATTGTTTTGACGCGCAAAACCTGTAAGAATTAGAAACTTGTAATTACTAAGGTGTGTACAAAAGTGCACAGGTAGTACGACTAAACNAAGATTGTAGAACAATGTGCAAGTAGTACTATGGAATAAAAAATAATATTGGACAATTAGTTCGAGAATTATTAACTGTTAAACTTTGGATGGAAAAAAAAAAACAAGTTTATTGATCCTATACGTCCGTTGAAATGCAACTATGGAGTTAAAATTGACCATGCTGAAAGTACCATTTTTATTTGTGAATTTAACGCCAATTTTGTTAAACAAATTACTGTTTGCTCGAAAGATATTGCAAATTTAAGTGCTTTATCGTAAATTCTTTTCAGTCTTTCTCTTTTTCCCTTGAAATGTTGGCTATTGTTGTAGTGAAATCGCGGAAAAGCAGGGGAGTCATCCCCTCTGCAGAGGTTCAAAATCGCGATTACTTTCTTCGGATCATCCCAGGGCTGGATTACCTATTGGGCCCCCAATGATTAGGGGCCCCCTTAAAATGGATTTTTTAGAAATAAATTAAAAAAAATTAAGAAAAACAATGATTTAAAAAAAATTCAATTTCAAATGTATATTTAAAAGAAAACGATAATTTTTTTGCATAATGTTAATCATATTTATNTTAGGGGCCCCCTTAAAATGGATTTTTTAGAAATAAATTAAAAAAAATTAAGAAAAACAATGATTTAAAAAAAAATCAATTTCAAATATATATTAATAAAATACGATGATTTTTTTACACAATGTTAATCATATTTATTTATTACTTATTTTAGTTATTACTTATAAGCATTATTATAGTTTATGTATTATAAGATTTATAATACAGGGCAATTTTATAGTAGCGTTGATTTCGTAAAGTGTTTATAAATTTCAAATTTTTTCAAAATGTTATGATTATTTTTTAGTTCTAATTCAACAAAATAAAGTAAAATTTAATTTATTAATATTTATTTTTATTTTAAATATGCTTTCTTAAATGAAAAGTAAATACTTTTATATTTGAATAAATAAAAAATATACGAGAAAAAAAATTTAATTTAAGGGCCCCAAAAATTTGAATGGCCTAGGGCCCCGCTTACGCTTAATCCGCCACAGGATAAATAAGACGATATATTATATAAATGTAGAATATTTATTATATCAGGCATTATATCAGTATATATTATAACAATGAGATCAAATGATTAGACGAACTGTAGTTTTTTAATAATTACGTGATTTGCACGTGTTTATAGGCTGTTTATTTTCGTATTATTTGTTTTAAATATTGTATTTATCCGACCCTAGATCATCCTCACAGGGATGTTTCACAGACAGTCGCCAGTACCCCATTGTGCAGCTCTAGTGCAACGTAAATAAAGTCGAATCTGAAATCGAGAATCGAATTCCGAACCAGTCCAATTCTCCAACCCAAGGGCGACCACGGCCCTTCAATTTGTACATAATAATAATAATTTTTTTTAATAAAAAAAAACCCTCCTTAGTAAATTTGAATAAATATTTAATGACCTTAAATTCAGGAGCAACGTCCTGAATCCTGTCATTTGTTAAATTCATATAATTATTGCGGGATAGCCTTGTCGGTAGGGAGCTGGCCTCATGCCTGACTGTTCGTGGGTTCGAACCCCGCCGGCCGAAGACTGCCCGTGTAGTAAGTGGTGACTGATGAACGTTAAATCTGTCGAGTCTCAAACTCCTCCATGTTCCCATGACAAATCAATACCTCTGGGGGTACTGGATTGGATATCGATCATTCTCTGATCCAGGTCAAAAATTACGTTTTGTGGATGAATGAATGTATTTATGAATGGGTCCGCCCTATGAACGGGTGAGACGTGTGTGTGGCTGAATTCGAATTCTTGGCCATAGATGAACACTGAAAAACAAGAAATGCACCCTCTGCCTTAAATCTGTTTGGTTTCACCAAGCAGGCTTGCTAGTGTGGCAATTGGCATTAGAAACAACAACATATACTTGTTAAAGCGGTGATATTTTACCCAGATAGACCTAATTATATAGACATATTTTTTTTTATCTTGAAGTATTTGGAGGACAAGATCAAAAACTTGCTTTATTTGCAGGGACCGAAGAACATTTAGGGTCAGATGGGGCTTTAGCCCCCTCGCTTTTTCTTAAAGAGGGTGACGTAGCCCTCTCTAAAATGAAAATTTTTCAATTTTAATTTACAATTGAAAAAAAACTTTTTTTTTGTGTCTGAATTTATAAAAAATGTCTCTAATTGTCCTTATTTCTGTCCGATGAGAAAATTCTTGGTCATTATTATTCATATGTCACAGTGAATAGAATAATAATGATATATTAAAAAAAAAAGTGAAGCAGATTAAAACTAAATATCCTAAAATTAGAAATATAGATATATTTATGAACACACATAAACAGGGAGGGGAGAGAGCCCCCCCCCCCAATCTTGGGATACTTCTGCAGTCACTGTTAATTCGATTGATTATTCTACAAAATTGAAGAAAAAAAAAGAACGCCTTAATTTTGTGATTACTGCATCAATAAAATAAGAATAAGAGCTATATTGTCAGGCCCGAAGATGATCGAACGAACTTCCCTCTCCAGAAACCCTTTTAAAAGAGCGACATCCGAACATCGAACGACATCACATTGCGATAGTTTTCTTCCAAAACATTGAGAAAGTAAACCGGAAATACTTCTCTCACGTGCCCGGTCTTTGCAGGCACTCGGTCACGCATGCGCCAGTCTCTGCAGATGGTGAAAGTTCCATTTTCTCTTTCGTTCGGCCGGCATTCGCGTTTTGTTGTGTGTGTAGTGGGTGTTATGGCGTATTCCTCGTCTTGAAAATACTGTGAGACAAAATGCCAGCTGTGTTTCTGGACCGGTTGCCCTTGCCGAGTTTGCAGGCCTATACTGTCGGCAGTGTACTATTACTGGCATGTTCTGTACACTATGCCGTGCAAATGACAGCTCAGATGGGAGTGAATTTTGCGAATGGGACGGCGAGCATTGGTGATTTCCGAAACGACGTCTTAAATTATCGAAATTCCACCCCACCTGGATTAATACAAGACATTTCATTTTGTGAAATATTATTAGAACGTGCTTGCTTTAAACGTAGCATTGAAGTAATATATTTTATGCTACAGGAACCCATGTGCATATGGGTAAGTCGAAGTTTTTTTTAACCTTTGTCTTTCTTAAAGTTTATAATATAATAAAGTACGTTGAAAAGAAGGTAATTTATATGGGATACGAATTTGTTATTTTTACAGTTGTTTATTCTGCCTTAATATTAGAATTTGGCGGTCGTCCTTAGACGGCAAGTATTTGTATTACGTAATTCTATGGAATCTTATTATAGGATCAATTAAGATGTAAATCATGATTCGCTAACATATAATTGCATTTTTTTTTGGATATATATACATATTATAGAGATGCCAACTTGTTTGGGACAGCAAATATATATTTTAAAGTGGTAGTTTATCAATTGTAATTCTTGGTTTAATACAATTTAGTAGATTTTTGTCCACCACTATTTCTAAATAATTCGTAGGCTTATGTAATTCGCCACTTTAGTCTTATGTCATGCTAGACCTTTTAAAAACCAAGCAAAAATAGTCAAATATTTGCAAAATTTACTTTGTAGTTATTTACCGTTTCTTTAATTATTTGACCGGATTTTAATTTAATTGTGTCCGGAGGAGTTGGCATCTCTGTATATATATATATACATATATATATAACATGTATATGTATGTATAAAATGAAATTTTTCGCATCTATTAAAAATAACAACTAAAATAATAAATTCAAGTTGCGAGCTTATTGCTTGATTTTCAAACATAGGGTGTTCTAAAATACTTGTTTTCTTTTGTAATTTATTGTCTCTCTTAAACCCTGAAAGCTTGAAATCTTATTGTGAAGTATTAAAAATAGCGTGAACTAAACTTCTTTTAAAATAATCATTTGAGAAAAATTTTAAAAAGTTAGAAACTCAGTGTCTTTTTCATTATTGTGAGGTAGTATATTATATACATATCAGCAAATAACAAACCATTGAAAAAGTGATATGATGTAAGTTATCACGGAATTGGAATTGTTAAACTAATTATTCACATAATCAGTTGAGACAAATCTTCTCAATATTAAAAACTTAGAAAATTGAATATCTATTAGATTTTCAATATCAATGTCTATTAGATTTTCAATGAGCCAATAACTATTAATTAAAAATTTAAATCCTATTTGGGTCATACCAAAATTGCAGAACACCTTTTGATAAATAAGAAATTAAAAAAAAATGAAATTTTTTTAAAAACGATAAATGCATTTAAGGTGGTTAATTACTTCCTCAAAGATCCAAATTAAGCAGCGAACTTTTAAACAATTATTACTCTCTAAAACTTAGTTGAATAGACGGAAAAATTCCTCCCGTGTTATCAAAATTATTTCATTTTTAAATAGAAAAATAAACAATTTTGCACTGGTAACACTTAGATGTGAACGTTCAGTTTTACAGATAAAGTTTTTTTTTGCATATATATTTGTCATTAAATACTACAATTATGCCCCCGTGTTGCTATTTCAATATTTTTACAAATTTGAAGTCTGCATAATTTCATTAAAATTACATTGATTAGTGAAATTATTATAAACATTGTTGATACCTATTCAATATTTCTTATTATCCTTTTAATGGAAGTGCTTTTGTCTTTTTTTTTGGGGGGGGCGTAAAAAATATGTCAGTAACACAGGGGTCAGCATAAAGTAACAAAGCGGACATACGTCTTTAGCACCTCGAATTAAACAATTTGATACATTGATATATTTTATTTTTCATAAACATTAACTGATCAATTGAATTGACAGAAAATTTTACTTCCTTTCACTTTTAAATTTGGATTTTTTAAAATACATATTACGAAATCAATCTGAATGTAAGATGCATCATTCTCTTACTTGAAAGTTTTTACCACTGTCTAATGTTTTTAAAAACATAACCTTAATATCACCATAGTCTTCTACGTCACCTTCAGGGGTCTGTCCTGGGAAAATTTACTACTTTCACAAATTCAATGAAATGAAAAAGTTGTTTCACAAAATACTTTTAAAAGAACAAGCTCTAAGATTCTTGTGTTTTTATTAAATTCAAGTTTAAATTTAAGTTATGGACAATGGATATTTGAATATGGATGCAATTTTAAGCCCAAAATTTTACAATAACAAAATAGTTTTTGAACATATGGGGAAAACAAGGTGCTTAGCATTTTTAAAAAGTGCGCTAAGTTTTTATTTACGTTTTTTAAAAGCCCTTAAAGGTGCTTTTTTTATTCGGGATTTGTGGAAAGTGCTTCATTTTCTCTCTTTTAAAGATACATTTTTTCTTTGCCGTGTCGATTGCTGTTCTAAATTACAAATATTGCAGGATTTTCACCATTTTCTCTGCAATATTTATCAGAAACTAGTCATTTTATCATGATTATGAAAAGATTTTGCAAATGTTTATGAATTTTATAGATTTTATGTTTATAAATGAAGAACTTTAAACGATAGAAAAAATATTTTTGATTGCTGCAAAGATCCTAATTATGATTTTAATTTTGGAAAGTGATTAAAAATATTTTTTGAGGGCTCAAGAAATACTTAAAAGGTGCTTATTTTTTGTTGAAAAATTTAGCTATGCACACTGGAAAAATATAAATGGAAATTTACTAGTCATAAATGATTTTTATTTGTAGTGGCAATTTTTGAAAATATTTTCTTATTGACCTTATTTTTGTGTTTAGTTTTTTTAATGTAATTTTTAATTTTCACAAATTATGTCTAAATTTTCCCAAAATAGGTACCTCTTAAAAAAAAAAAAAAAAAAAACCTAGACCGACCCCTGACCTTGTGCTATTCCAACATATTTATATTTAGATTCTTTTTTGCTCCTAATATTTGAATGAGTTTGTAATTGGTTCTCTTATTTGATGTTTTAAAATAGGATTAAAAAATAAGACCATGTGGCTCACATAAAACCATATATAAAAAGCCTTTGACTAAATAAATAAAAATTATTTTTGTGTCTATATTGAGCAGAGTTTGTGATTTTTTTTAAAAGAAATAAAAAAAATCAAATTTTTTTTGATTTAAATAAGTTTTTTTTTTTTTTTTTAATTTTTATTCAAATGCATTGTAAGAACTTTGATCTATGATTAAAAAAACTTTATAAATGTTGAATCAAAATTAAATTAATATTAAAACTATATTATAAGAATATTTTAGAAGCTCTAACTGCCTAAAACACTTTTTCATTATAATACATAGCTTTGAATGCATAGCAACTATTTTGAAACAAATGCATGATTGAAATTTAAAGACTAGATGAAATAGAGAATTTAAAGAATACTTTAACTAATAAAACAAAGTGTCAATTACCAAACGATAATTTAAATTTAAAATTGTGATTTCTTTTTTTCCCCCTCTTGATTTTAAAAAGGACAAAATAAATGTAACAGATTGTATTTATATAGTCATTCATCAGAAAATAAATAAATATTTATTCTATATCTTTTTATATTAAAATATTCATTTTTAATCCTATATCAAAATAGATAAGTTAAGCTAAAAAAAAATTTTTTTTTCAATTCTATGTCTCATTGAAATTTTTCTCCACAAAATGTCTTTATAGAAAATCTGGTTATGACAAAGATACTGTAAAAATATTATGAGAAAAAAAATACTTAAGTGTTTACTTTAATCTGTACTTTCACTCTCAGGAATCAGAAGATTTATAAAAGTGTAATTTCAAATGTGTTAGAATTTAACACATACCAAGAAAAAAAGTAATTTTATTAGCTGAAATTAATTAATGCAGCAATAATAAATTTTAAAACTAAGAAAAGAAATAATAAAAGTATCAATAATTTAAAACACTGTTTCTTAACTTTTTAAATCAATATATATATTTATACTAAAAAAATCAGTTGATTTAGATTTTTTTTAAAAATCATGATTTAAATCAACAAACCCTGATTATAAGTACATATAATACAGGTTTTTGCAAACTCTGCTACATTACTCCAACTCATCAAAAGTTAAGCATGAGGACTAGTTTATAATTCATTAACAAAATATTGAATAAATCAGTTTATGCTGATGCCAGAGCTCATTCTAGGCAGAAAAAAGGCAAAAGTTTAAAAAAAAGGGCATTATTATTCTAAAAAGGCAATAATTTCTTTCTATGGGCTTTACATGTTCTATTAAAANTTAATCATCTTTTCAATTTAAAATCTTTAAATACGAAGATGTAGAGTGTAATAGTTATGGTTATACCTATCATTTCAATGAATGTTATTATAATGCTTTTTTAAATTTCTTGTTGTGTTTTTGTCGGAGAAAATAGTAACTTCGTTAAGTCATGAAAAATTCTAGGAATTAGTCATGAATTTGAAAATCTAAAATGTAGCAGATACTCTATATGCACCCCTTTTCTTAATTTTTTTTTATTTTCCATTTTAAGATATACTAGGAGGCTTCGCCCCCTGCTCGCTGGTGCTCACCAACCCCCGGAACTGCTTTCGCAGTTCATTTCGGATTGCTTCGCAATCCGATGTTCGCTTTGCTCGCTCATTGGATACGTTCTTAACGTCTGGCTTTTGTATACTTTTTTGAACACTGAAGTTCCGAAAACTTTTCACTGTAGAAAGTTCTAAACCTGTGCATTTCAACATTAGTTTGAAATTGCAAACAGTTCACATATTTTTCGTAACCACACTATTTTAAATTTCAGTTGTTGAGAAAAGTAACTGCTGTGAGTTTTGTTTTAAAGAGTTTCCCACAAGAGGGCTAAAACCATGTGTTGTAAAACAATATGAAATAGTACTGAACGCCGGATGTCGTCGGAACATCGGCTTCGATGAAGATAATTTTGTGAGAATTTTTTTGATAATTCGGTGAGAATTCACCCGATTAGCCATTTGATGCTCACTGCGTGCTCTTGCTCGCCGAAGCCTTTCAATTAAAACGTATTAGCGTTTTATATAATATAGATTAGCCATATGATGCTCACTACGTGCTCTTGCGCGCCGAAGCCTATCAATTAAAAATGAAAACTGTTGCCAACGCGAGAAAAGAAATATCATCGGTTTTATTGATACATACGTACGTATTAGCGTTT